AGAACTTTGTACTGGAAAATTGTTTCTCTACCCCTGAATGTCAGGAATTTTTGTGTGTGCATGCTCATATGGAAACTTGCCTCCTTCAGCTCTGTTGATGCAAGCCAGTATCCTCCCTGGTGTCTGTGGCTTGTTGAAGTGTGAATATCTATGAATATTCTTTGGTGATATTTAAACTCCTCAGGTCTGAAGCAGTCTCAGGCTTTTCATTCCGATTGGAAAAAAAATTCTACGTTCAATTTTCCTACAGCTTTCTTTTCAGTGAGTGCTCATAATACCATGAAGAACGAGGATTTGGCTGCTTTGTATGAAAGAGCCTGAGAGAAAGAGAGAGAGAGTATTGAAGTTATAAGAATGTGCCTATCATGATCTTTATGTGCCTCGTGTAAAAATAGCACTAAGACTACATGATAAATGCATTCATCTTTTGAACCAATGTCAGCTAATGTCATCCCTGAACTTAGTGGCAGTTGGTTTGTTAGCATGATAACGTGTCACCAGGTTGAGAGGGGTCAGGGCTGGCTCCAGGCACCAGCGCAGCAAGCAGGTGCTTGGGGTGGCCAATGAAAAGGGGCAGTACATCCGGGTCTTCGGCAGCAATTCGGCGGTGGGTCCCTCAGTCCCTCTCGGAGGGAAAGACCTGCTGCTGAATTGCCGCCGAAGAATGAAGCGGTGGAAGTAGAGCTGAAGTGCCGCCGATTGCGGCTTTTTTTTTTTTTTCCCACCGCTTTGGGAGGCAAAAACACTGGAGCCGGCCCTGGGAGGGGTGAATAAAATAAGGGGATGTGGGTGCAGAGTATTGTTGAATCTGTTGGAGGGTGTTATGTTTTCGATGGACTGACCTTGTAAATAAATTGTTGCTATGTGTGCATCTGGAGAGGAAGTGCAAGGGGCCCACTTCATCATCATCATCATTATTTATTTCATGTATTAATGGCTGTCAGTTTGCTTGGCACTGTACACAGTCCCTTTAGGGACCTGCAGTCAAATTAGGCTCAAACAGAAGCATTAAGAAATAGATAATGGCCACAGTTTTCAAAAGTGACTGTCGATTTTTGGTGTCCAACTTGAGTCAGCTTAAAGGGGCCTGATTTTCAGAAAGTGATGGGCACCTACCCTCTGAAAATCAGGCTCCTTTTAAATGTCTTGAGTTGGGCCCTAAAAGCATTATTCATTTCAGAAAATCTTGGCTTAAACATTTAAATATAGTGACTCTACCAGCACAATAGTCACTTGACAGTTAAGATATACTATTTAATATCCTTTTGCCATTGAAATCCAAACAAAGAATCTTGTTTTAACCTCTCACAAAGATAAATCGGACTGAAAATTGCTAGGAGTCCTGGGAATTTAATATCTATGATCACAGAGCATGAGAGGCTGGCGGGCAGGGGACGGCACATCTTTGAAAGAGAAAACGTCTTATACTGGGGCAAGTGGAGAAGGAAAAGGAATACAAGTCTGAGTACTTTCGCTAGTACCATCAACTTACAGTTCATATGATCGTCCAAAATTCTAAACTTAAATCCATTCTGTTTCCTCTAAACAGCAATATTTGTAGTCAGCGGCTCCCATTTTCAAATAACATGATGCACTGAACCGGAAGTTGCAAATATTCCCGAACAAGCAGCGTCAGCTTCTAGCAGCATGACCCAAGAACAGCAACTCTCACAGGAAATATTTCAGGACATCTCCAAAGGGTCCAAGGGGGCGGGGAGGGGCAGAGGGGTTAAAACACACACACCCAAAAGAAAAAAAACTAATTTATTTTCATCAGGGTTAATTTGAAGAGAGTGGTTTTCTACAGGCTTCTGAAATCTGAGTGCATTCTTACCATTAGCTCACTGCACTTCCAGTGACCCTCCTAATGTCTGACGTGGAGATTATTAGTGAATATTAAGGAAATAAGTATGTTTTGGAGAATAAAGGACTTAAAGGAGCATTTTCAATTTGTTTAGGCCACAACATCTTTTCCTTTCAGGAAGGTAAATAGCATGCTACATCCCTGGAGGATGGGACAACGTAAGAAAAGCTTTTTGAGACTTCAAAAAGCTATAGAAAACTCCCTTCTTTGCATTAACTATATTGAACATAATACATTCTTTCTCTCTCTAGATCCTTTTGGGAGATGTTATTATCAAGTATTTTCAGCATGAAAGCTGGCTGTTCCTTAGGCCTGCTTACTGGAAGCTGGTACTTCTTCTACTGAAATATAATTTGAAAGTGGGAGATGTTTGTAGGGCTAAGCGGGTGGATAGATGGATAGACAGACACATACGTTCTCTCTCTCTCTCTCTCTCTCTCTCTCTCTCTCACACACACACACACACACACACACACACACACACACACACACACACATTCAGTTTTCATATGCATTATACTAAAAGTTGCATTAGGTTTATTTATAGTTTTAAATTGAAGTTTTTAAAATTTGTTTCTTTTCTTACCAACTCAAAACATAATTATAGTAATGCATCTGTGTTTTGGTTGCTAAGGACCCAAACGAGAGCTTTAACTAATAAGTCTTTTGAATGTGTAAAAGCATATAATATGGCATCTTCCATGAATGAGGCAAATCCCTAAACTATAACTGGACCTGCTAAAATTGAGCTAAAAGTGTTAATCTGTGTTTACATTAATGATAAGTGGGATTTTCAGTGAGTTGATAGCTGGATTGAACTAACACAACTGAAAAAAAGTATCTTTTATCTAGTCTACATAAGACCTGTGTGGCTTCCACCTTCTGTAGACATCTTACAAATAAATCGCAGATGTTCAGGAGAAACCACCAATATTAATTCTCCCAAAGTTTCAGAAAACTGCAGAAGGTGGTAATTTCCTAATTCTTATTAATAAAATAATAATATAGTCTATGAAGCTCATTTTAAGATAGGGTGACCAGATGTCCCAATTTTATAGGGACAGTTCTGATATTTGGGCCTTTTTCTTATATAGGTGCCTATTACCCTCCAATCTCTCTCACGATTTTTCACACTTGCTATCTGGTCACCCTATTTTAAGAGTGTAGAAAAATCAAATTCCCATTAATAACTTGTTCCTTTTGTTTTAGACTCCAAGTATGATTTAGGACATCACTTACTGTCAAACGTTCCGCCCCAGCCCCTAATGAATTTTTTCCAGCAGGTTCAATTGTTAGGGGTTTTTTTTTCTGTTCTTCAACAAGATGACAGCTTCACAAACAGTGGTTTGTGAACCATTAGGGTTTGTGAACTGGTGCAGCTGGGAGCATGCTTCCCAGACTAGATAGAAAGACATGCTAACTCTGCACGAGCTAGTGCACTAAAAATAGCAGTGTGAATGTTGCAGCACGTTGGGCTAGCCACCAGGAGGTCGGGTGAACAGGCATGTAACTTGGGTGGCAAGCCCAGGCTGCTATTTTGAGCATGCTAGCTCAAGCAAAGCTAGAGTCAGTCTCTCTACCTGGGGGGCTGGTAGGCACAATCCCAACCACAGTGTGGACGTAGATCTGCAGTGATCTGTAGACCCCTTCCTGTTGTTCCTCAGAATGAATGAAATGTTTTGAAATCTCAAACTGTGTAGGATGGTGGTGCTTGGGAAGAGTGCTGAATCTGTATGCAGGGTGAAAAAGCTGAAGAACATCTCAGTGTTCTTGGGCGTTCTCTTCTCTCTGTAAATAAAAACAGTTTGGATTAATACACACAGCAATTTGTGTTCTTATTGGGAATACAGTGCATTATTTGTTCTCATTGTTCTTTTAGGATTGCATCTGACTTGGATTCAACTTGTATCCAACTGGGTTCAAACTATAGCATATTTCTTTACCGTATTAGCCAGGCTAATTTGTAAGAATTTATTTCATAAGTGTATGCCTCAGCATCATGTATCATTCATTTCAAATAAAAGAATTTTCAAATATTGAAACCTTATATTATTTTTATACTATGACTGTGATTATCTTAAATAATCAACAACTCTTTTTCCCCCCTAGCCTTTTAGATCATAGATGGTATCTTTAACCAAAACAAATCATTCCGTTTCAGAAAAGATAATAAATACACACTTGTATTATGCATCTGTTTTATACAGAATTATTTCAGCTTGTTAAACTAAACACGCAATGTTTTGAAATGGAGATTTCTCTGGATAAAACGGCTTGTGTCTTAAAATTTGATGGATGAATTCTTTTTATCAAACCATGTATTTTAAATGTCTATTGATGTAATTTCCTGATATGTTTCATAACAATGAACTGAGAAGGAAATTATATTTTCCTATAACTCACTTCATAGTTATTGGTGCCATTCTATTTATTTTATTCACTAACTAAAAGAACTAAAAGCCAAAGAAATCCAGTCTTTCATTGTGATATATTTCTGTACATACTAAAATATGGTTTAAATTAGCATCAGAACATCAGGTTATATATGGTGGAACTAATGTGAACCATTCAGAATATATGCAGTATGGTGGAAAGATTTAAAAACATGAGTTTGTAGCAACATTGTATTACCAAAAAAAAAAAGGGTATCTAAAGACTGGGGCCAGATCCTAAGCTGGTGTAAATTGGTATAGCACTGTTGACTTTAATGGAGTTACACTGATTTATAACCTAAATCAAGATAACCATAATAAAAGCAACACTAAGAGCCACAACAAGAAAAACTATCCAGGTGCGCATTAAAGTACATGCTTTGCACCAGATACACCTCTACCCTGATATAACGCTGTCCCCAGGAGCCAAAAAATCTTACCACGTTATAGGTGAAACCGCGTTATATCGAACTTGCTTTGATCCGCCGGAGTGCGCAGCCCCGCCCCCCTGGAGCGCTGCTTTACTGCGTTATATCCGAATTCGCGTTATATCGGGGTAGAGGTGTACTCACCTGTTGTTAAACAGCATAGCTCCATGGACTTTAATAGAGCTATGCTGATTTACATTATCTGAGGCTCTGGCCCATAATATTGTAAATAAATATATTAATATATAAAATGAATATGTTACATGTTTATTACAGGTGAAGTGTGATCAGTATTGGCCAAGCAGAGGGACAGAGACATATGGGCTGATCCAAGTGACCCTGCTAGACACTGTTGAATTGGCAACATACTGTGTTCGAACATTTGCACTTTACAAGGTATGTTTTCTGTGGTGTCCTTCCTGCTCCCACCATTTAAAGAAGGCTGCTTTGCAGAAATCAGATCTCTTAAGGATTTACTTAAATCTTGATCCTGTTGGCAACACTGAAGAATAAAACAGTTCTTCTGTTATCACAGTGCATTTTTCTCCAAGGCTGGCAGTTCATCGGTAAATATGGAGCTCTGACTGTGAACAACGGTTTAATTGAATGAAGAATTAGCTGAAGCACAGGCAGTTGTTGCTGTGTGCTGTAAAGTATAACTAAAACCCTCATGTCACTTGAACCACAAAACCAGCAATTTAGAATAGTTGTAATATTTTCTCCTATAGCAGGAGTTCGCTTTCTCTCTGTTCCCACATGAGGTTTAGCTGGTTTTCATCATTATATGCAGTTATGCCATCACTTCATTCCATAGTGCTGCCATAGCATTAGATAGCAGTTGTTTCGTTAAAATTTTTGATTTGATAGAATGGTTCAAGTGAGAAAAGAGAAGTGCGGCAATTCCAGTTCACTGCCTGGCCTGACCATGGAGTTCCAGAACATCCTACACCATTTCTGGCTTTCCTACGACGAGTCAAAACTTGTAACCCTCCTGATGCTGGACCTATGGTGGTGCATTGCAGGTAGGCACATACTTTACTTCAAAGCATCTCAAAATATCACACTGAAATTGTTTTTATGATTAATGCCCTGTGTTTTAAAGTATATGAATAATATCCTTTGTGCTTCTGGGGTTTCTTCTGTATTGGGATTGCATCCTGGCCATGCTATGAAAGGGCTTGGTCTCAATGACCTAGTGGGTTTTTTGCATCTCGTGACATTCTATAATTGTAACATGAAATGTTGGCTATTTGGCAACATACTTATGGGCAGGTAAATGGCAAATTAGGAATTCAAGTGCAAAAAGCCTGAATTTCAGACTCAAGTTTAGTCCTTCACTTTAAAACGGAGATTGGATGGAAGCTCAGAGGGAGCATGAGGAATGCATTACCAGGGGTTGTGCTGGATTCTTTGTCACTGGTAATTTTTAAATCAAGACTGGATACTTTTCTAAAAGAGGTGCTTTAGATCAAACAGGAATTAATGAAGGGAAGTCTTATGGCCTGTGTTATGCAGGAGGTAAGATTAGATGATCACAGGGTCCCTGAGGGTAATTATCAAATGATCCAACCCCTGTCATCCAATCCCAGCTTCTGGCAGTCAGGGCTTTAGGGACACCCAGGGCACAGAGTTATGTCCCTGACCATCTTGGCTAATAGCCATTGATGGACCTACCCTCCATGAACTTGTCTAATTCTTTTTTGAACCCAGTTATACTTCTGGCCTTCGCAACATCACCTGGCAACAAGTTACACAGATTGATTGTGTGTTGTGTGAAGCAATATTTCCTTATGTTGGTTTTAAACCTACTGTCTATTAATTTCACTGGGTGACCGCTGCTTATATGACGGGGTTAATAACACTTTCTGATTTACTTTCTCCATACTATTCATGATTTTATAGACCTCTGTCATATCCCCCCCCCCCCTTCTTCATCTCTCTTTTAAGCTGAACAGTCCGTCTTTTTTTTTTAAATCTCTCCTCATACAGAAGAAGTTCCAGACCCCTAATCATTTTTGTTGCCCTTCTCTGTAACTTTTCCAATTCTAATATAGCTTTTTAGTGATGTGGTGACCGGAACTGCATGCAGTATTCAAGGCGTGGGCATACCAGGGTTTGATACAATGGCGTTATGATATTTTCTGTCTTATTATCAATCCATTTCTTAATGGTTCCTAACATTCTGTTAGCTTTCTTGACTGCCGCTGCACATTGAGCAGATGTTTTCAGAGAACTATCCACGATGACTATTTCACGATGATCTATTTCATGAGTGGTAATTAGTTTCCCTGAAACTCTCCACTGGCTTCCTACCTTCCATTTCAGTTTCAAGTTTTTCATCCTCCCTTTCAGAGCTGTGCTACCTATACGCCTATCTACTTCTCAATTCCTTGTTTCCTTCTTACCATTGTTTTAAAGGGTCTTTTTCATTTCTTTTTCCCCGACCCTGGTCGTTGTCGGGCAGAATCGAACCGGGGACCTCTGGAGCTTAGTGCATGAACCTCTACAGCATGAGCTAAAAGTCAACTGGCTGTTAGCTAAGACTGTAGAGCAGACTCATTAATTGCTCTCTAAGTGGTTTTTGTGCCTCTTGATGGGTTACATTTGCATACTCTTCCATACTAAACTTATGGTTGGGGCTCCCTCCCTCTGTTTGTGTGCAAAGCTCATTTACTTCCCTTATAAAAACACCATTTTCCTGTCAAAAATTGCAAAGTTGCTCCACCAAAGCAAGAAGTACTTTTGTTGGTGGCGGTAGTGGTTTGGTTGGTTTGTTGGTTTTTGTTTTTTGTTTCTTTTAAATCTGTATTGCTTTGAGACTAGACCTTCACAAGGTTCCCTGATGTATCTGAAAGTTATTGTCCGTCTAATGCAGGGCCAGATTGTGCAACCCTTGCTAATGGCGGGCAGCACTTATGCAAGTAGTCCCATTTAAGTCAATAGAAATCTTAATATGCGTCATTGTTGCCCACTCTGAGTATGAGGGACACAAAGGGACACAAATTGTAAGATCTAGGGGGTAAGGTTAATGTCTTTGCCAGGGCTCAATAAACAGTAATAATGACAGATTATAAAAGTATTAATACAATTTTATAAGCTTTTTATTTATACATTTGGTAGAAGCTAATGAAACAATTAACAGGGAGAAACTGTGGATGCAATTTCTCTTGATGCCAAAAAAGCTTTCAACACAGTAGAGCCAAAAAGACAAATTAGTTAGGCCACTAAGCATATGTAGCACAGAAGTGAGCTACTTTTTCATTGAATGTCTGTGAATGTCTGGTTTTGTTGACGGTGGTGGTGTTGTTCATGGGCTGAACGCTGAGCTCCTTTCTCAGTTTTTACTCCGGTAAACTCTCACTGAAATCAATAGGAGTTTGCCTGTACAAGGAATGATTAACAACCTAGTAAGGGTCTGAGGATTTGATCGTATAAACACAACAGACTAAGAACTAGGAACATATAGGTATTGTAAGTGAAGGGGTTTAAAGCATGCTTTTCCACACATTTCTACCAATCCACCTTAATCTTGACCTACAATCCTTCTGCTATTCCAGTCCACTATGTCTCTTAAAAACAGATATGGCAATCTCTGAAGATTGATTGAAGATAGACATCCTCTAGAGACTAGGTTAGATAAAGATCTACAGATTGATTTAAATGTGGGAGCTGAGACAGTTTTGAACCAAAGCCATTGTAGCTGAAGCGCTGGCTTAGTAGATAATGTTTTCACCCCTCAGCTCATAGAGAGCCGAGAAGCCACCAACCCCCCCTGGGATGAGCTAGTTGAAAGCATAAAGAATTCACTTACATGGCCAAGATATAGTGTGCTTATTAGTGGAAATGGTTTGAAGTGAAGGGAAGTGACAACTGGAGTACCACATTGAAAACATTAGGATGGATTCTTTTTATGGATCAGTGACCAAGAAGGAGTTCAGTCCTAAGTGATTAAATTAGCTGCTGATACAAAATAAGAGGCAACATTCAGAATGACTGGACTAGATAAGTCATATGGTCAGAGATGGTTTGTACATATCTAATACCTAGAGAATATTGTATAATAAGATCAATACAAAAGCAAAAACAAAAAAATACAAAGAGAATACACAATCCCTTCTCTCTAGTCATGCACTAATAAGATCCAGGAAGGAGAAACATTTGTGTGTTACTGTAAATTATTCTAGCTCTGGCAATTGACGGCTTGGCTGCGTGTGAAATACTGAGTGTTGATCTGATCGTTTTGTTTTAAAAAACATGTTGCAGAAATGAAAACCTACAGTACAGCAGTCAAGGATCTTAGTTACTCAGAAGGGTAAGAGAAAGTAGGTATGTATTCTTTAGGTAATAGGATATTAAGAGGCGGTCCCATCAAAAAGAACAGGAGTACTTGTGGCACCTTAGAGACTAACAAATTTAGTCCCATCAAAGTATACTCAATTCTGAAGGAAATAAATAGTGGCATAAAGCTTCTGAAATAGTGCCAAAGACAAGATTAGGGCTTCATCTACACAAAAGCTTATACTGGTATAAATGTGCCTCCTATACAGGAATAATACTGATATAACTTCATCCATACTAGGGGGGTTATACAGCTTTAACTATATCAAGCTAAAGTGATATATATGTTGTGTGTAGACAAGCCCTAAAGGAGCAAAAAGTTAAACAAACTTAGGAATAATTTCTGCATATAGTACCAAATTCTGTGATCCTTAGTTGTGTAATACTTTGGCAAAGACAGCAATACAAGCAGCACTTTTTTAAAAGTGAAACTTAGAAGAGAAAAAATGAGCTAATTCAAAAGAGACTGATATTTTAGGATGAAAGAAATCCAAGAAGCCTACCTTTTTTTGTAGATACTATTCATGATATGTATTCAAATCTTGATTGGCCCAATAGGAATAAGTAGTGTGATGCTTATATTCCATGGTAATAGTCACCTTAGAAATACCTAAGCTAGATAGATGCTGCTTTACAAAGTATTAATTTTTAAACATTTATCCTTTCATTTCTTTGTTGTAGAGCGGTTCAGCAATATCACAGCACAACTTCTGCTTCCACACTGATGTGTCTTAATTTGCAGAGGTGATTTTTTTAAAAGGCATTTATTATTTTAAATGCGGGTTTAAACCCGAGGATTCTGGATTAGATAGACTATAATGTGTGTTCTAATGATAGTGGGGAAAACACATGTGTATGTTTGAAGCTAGATTAGTGCAGGCAAACAGGTGCTAATCAGATCACAATAAAATTGTACTGGAGGGCATCTGGAAACTCTATATCACTTTGTTTTCAAAACATCACAGAAACTTTAGGACTTACTTCAGTAACACTATATAAAAGCTTAACATGTAAGTTGCAATGCCAGACATTTCAATTTTTTTTTTAATATCAGCACCATAGGGCATATCTTTCAGAGACATTTAGCTTAATAAAGTTTCAGTATGCACTTTGCATTCTGTTATGGCGAACAGAAAAACTTGGATAGTTTGGAGAAATGTCAGTTTTTGGTTTGAGTAGCACCCTGCCCTTATGTACTGAAACCCCTAATTAGCACATTAAAGACAAGTTAACTTTAACAAATACATGTATTATGGCCCTGCATCTTTTTAAAATAGGGTATCTACCTAACATTTGTCCAAGGTAAAGTATTTCAAATGTGTAGATACGAGTGCACTGTTTCCAGAGGAATGTTTCACATTACACCAATGCCTTCCTACTTCCTGCTGGACTCTAACCTCCCAACCCCCACCGCCGCACACCACACAATCTTCGGTTTCTAATCCTGGCAGTGAATAGGTTGCAGATGAAGGTCTATCCTTTTTCACGGTGTGGAAAAAATCCCTCCAGTACATATTCAAAAATCTCTCAAAGGAGATTGAAAACATTAAAAGCTTCCTCATCCTTTCCCTCCCTCTGCCTTGAAAACAACTCAGAATCCTTACTCTCCTTCCGTGGGTGGCTGATAGCATTGAAGAGGAAAAGTGTATAATAAAGATCTCTAACACCACCAGTGTGAAGTATT